CCGGGCCTTTCCCCCCTGCCCAGGTGACCAGAGCATCGCCTCCCAGGCGCCAGGCTTTTGTCATGCAGACAAGGTGGGAGATCCCTGCCCTGAGGGATCAACAGCAGCCTCTCACGCTGGTGGAGACAGATCTCTGGAGAGGGGCACTGACGGTGGCATTTCTGCCACAGAAACTATGGAAGGAAAAGTGACCAGGGTCTGACCAGGGCTTTTCCCTTGTTCCTCTCTCTCTGGCAGACATCAGCATTCAAAGTCCAGGGAGTTCGGATTCATCTACCTGATCTAATGTTTGCCCTGTCCTTTCCTTGCTCTGGCTGTGCTCCTTCCTCCTGCTGCACTTCTTTCCAGCAGGGATCTGGCCACAGTGACTCTTTGCTATGAAAAACTAAACCAAGCAGGCATGGGAGGAGGCACAGCACAGGAGGAGGCACAGCAGGGGAGGTTGCAGGTCACAGGGGCTTCTGCTGTCCGTGGGGCCCTGGTAGGTGCCTGCAGCCCCACGGACACGGGGGCGGGGTGCCTCTCCACATGTGCTGTGTCCTTGATGCATGTTGCCTGTATTCTGGCCAGAGCTGCCCCTGCACTCAGCATATACATGGAGGTCACACATCCTCTGTCCCCTGTGGCTTGTCCCCAGAGGCTGCCATCAGTGAGCCCGACTTCTCACCCTGCCCCACCATAGCTGTCAGGGCTGGTCTGACTGCAGCTCTCTGCAGAGTCATGGTATCAGAGGGGTGGGGAATAACCCCCCATGCAATGTTTGTTCCACAGACCTCCCCCAGATCAGCCCCCCAGAGATTTCACCCACCAGCATCAGGCTCAGCTGGGCTTGCAAACCCATCGAGTCCTGCCAGGGCACATCGACCATATGGGCCAAGTGCCAGGCAGATGTACACCACAAGGCCGACCCCTGCTGGGAACAAGGAGCCACAATAGAGTGGACTTCTAAAGTCTTGGAGGGGACTTTTACCTGCAGCCACCTGCAACCCTTCAGTTTCTACAACGTCACCATTTTTGCAAGCACCGGGGCTCAGATACCCTCCTCCAGCGCTGTTCTCTACAGACGGCGGGTCAGGACAAAAGAGACGGGTAAGAGGTGGG